CTAACTAGACCTGTGAACCAAGCTCAATAAATATCTGATTTAAACACCGTGAGATTGGAATTTCAAGTGAATGAACTTTTGCCTGCTATAATTACTTTCTATTTGAACAATGATGCACGTTTGTACGTATATAACATGACCGTAAATAGCAAAGCGAGTGCAAACGTAGAAGTTTTATATTTAATAATACTTGGATGGTGGACATGACATATGCAGGATTCTTGAATTTTTCAATAAAAGTATACCTTTAAACAATCCCACGAAGAATATTCAGAATTTAGGTCCATTACAAATGTATATAAACATTTAACTTTATCAACCCTGTCAGTGCCAGAAGGGTGATCAGGACATTATTTGATATGAAATTGCACCGGCATTTAGTTCACGAAAGGTTAACAAGGTATTGGCAAGCTGCGCATTTCATTGTAAATGCAAACAGAGAATCAAATCTATGCAAAATCATTAGCAGCAAGGTTCAACAGATAACCATGAAATGTAAAATAATATGTACTGGGAGTGCAGTTATACAAATAGCTATGCAATCATGGTCACACTGTGCAAATTATTCTAGGGAAATTCACTTGTAACACTTTTTCTAAAGCTCTTCACTTCCTGCTGTATTATCTATACCCAGCCATAATCTTCATGTAATTGCTTCTCAGTGTCATGCCACAACCTAGCTTGGTCTGCAGGGATACAGAGTGTGTTATGCTCCAATCATATTGCCTGCTACTTCTGGGCATTGTCAAATGGCTACAAGGTATAGGATAGGCATAGGCAACCTTTGGCACTCCAGGTGTTTTGGACTACACCTCCCTTGATGCTTTGCCAACCAAAGAAGGTTTTCGTACCTGTGGGAATTGTGTTAGCTGTAACCACCAACATAAAATTATTACCAATTTCAGCAGTACTCAAACTAAAAGGACATTTAAAATAAAAAGTTTAGTTTCCTGTTCCTCCACACATGTTGTATACCTTCTGACATGTGGATGTGGCTGCAGTATTTGGGGAGGACAGGAAGAAAAGCTAAAATTAGATTTCAGGAGCACCGAAATAACATCAGAAAATATATGCTAACTCATTCAGTGCCAGTACACTGTAATAAATGCCCTTTTTAAAATTTTAATACTCTCCAATTTACTGTGATCGAACAGGTAGCTTTAGATGAGAGAGGTGGCGATCTGGGGTTGCTGTTAAGAAAGAGAGAGGGTTATTGGATTCACACTTTACAAACTATGCAGCCAAAGGGACTTAACGTCGATTTTGATTTAGTTTGTTTTCTTTAATAAGTCTTTGTTACGATTTTCATGTTATTTTATTGCAATATCGTATTTATTTATTTTCTTTTTTCTTTTCTTTTTTTATTTTTTATTTTTAATTTTTATTTTTAATTTTTAACTTATTTTATTTTATTTCATTTTTATTTATTTTTATTTTTATTTTCATTGATCATTATTTCATACTTTTTATTTTCAGACTTCATTATTTATTTTATTTTATTTATTTTATTTATCCTTTGTTTACATTTTTCACAACATTATAATTTTCTTATATTTTTTTTACCTTACTATATTTTGGTTTTTTTAATATATGTTACTTTTGGACTGTTTGGGTGAAGGTTGGAATTAAAATTTATTGCTGGAATTTTTATGTATATACAACTTATTCCGATAAGATGTTGTTGTATCAATCTCTTCTGCGATTCTCTTGTATTTATGGTGGTTGTGACGAGACCAATCTCGCCACATTGCATTGGAGAAGCCTGGTTGCTCGCCTGCTGCCTTTGGACTATGGCCCCCTTTTAAAAGACTTTATTTTTCCTTGCAGAAAAGCTGTATTCGTGCTTTTCTGCCGGTTGTTCGGTAGTTTCAATCTACCGAACAACCGTACGAATGACTGGACCACCTGGGAGCTGGAGTGTGCCGGCAATTAACCTCCCTGAAGCTGCGGTTAACCGCAGCTTAATTGATGAACGCTGGGTGGCCGCCGTTTCTTATCCCGAACACGAGGTCGCAGCCATTTTAAACCATACGAATGAACAGCGGTGTTCGCCTCTATTTTCATGGAACTAAAATCGGACACAGTTTTGCGCGAACACCGCTGAAGCCGCCGACCTCCCTTCTTGTTCAGTGAAAGCACACGAATGACCCGGTGTTCGGTATTTTTGTGTGAATGTCTTATACCCCAGATAGGAATCCCATGGAGCCCATTCGTATGAAACTGACTGTAAAGACTTTGGCTCCATGGCGATTAAACTGTATTCATGTGGTCTGAGTGCCATTCACCTAATAATGTGCACTCAGACCTGAGCTATCTGGGGATATGTTACATGTCTGTGTTTTATGTAGTAAATGTTACTTTGTGCATTTTAAAGTATTATGCTGGTTTTGTGTTCCCAAGTGTGTAATGGAGTTTTGCCTTTGTCTTGGGAGATAATTGAGTTACTTCCCAGTTATCTCCCAGGGCAGAAGGGAGGAAGCCGGGATGCATTGTGGGAATATACTGTGACTGTGTGTCCTATTTGTATACTTGTCTGTCCCTTGTCACAGTCTCCCATTTGGTCCCCTAGGGGAGTGTCCACCAGGTGGGAGACCTGCATAAAAGCCGGGCAGGTAGCCCTCATTAAACAGACCACTGCTTGACCCTTAACACGGAGCCTTGTCTCGTTCTTGGGGGGATTCACTGTATGCTGTTAGAGACTGATTGCCAGGAGTGTAAGCTGTCTGCTTTTCCTGTTCGTCTGCTAGCAGCTATTTGGGAGGTTCCAGTTCGGGAGTTGGAGTGCTATGTTGTATCCAGTTCGGGAGCTTGGTGTTCTGCAGTAGCTGTGCCTGTGTCTCTAAAAGGGGATTATCGTCTAAGCGGTTTTTTTACCCCTTGTGTGCAAAACGGTCCGTTACAGTGGTACGTGAACTGTTAAGTGGAACGCACATCGGTGCGTCATCATTTCCGGCCTCACTTCGAAAACGAGGCTTGGATCGCATTTCCGGAAGGGTTGAATACATCCGGAAGCATCTATTATGACGAACCCGGAAGTCCGTTGCCGATAGGCCCTGCCATTCGGCGCGCCAAAACTGAAAGATTGAAAAGAAGACTCAGAGTGTAGAGACATTAATGCTGGCTAGAAGGAAGCTTTATTTTCCCCTGAGGAAGTTCAATTATTTGAATGAAACGCGTAGGACTTTTTCTATTAGTGCAGACTTTTTGGTATTATTTTATTTTCAATTATTTGTAGTTTTATTCTGTTTTATTTGTCATCATTGCTGTTCTTTCTGATGCTCCATTTTACTGGGACCTTGTGATCGAACTGACAGTGTGTGATGTTCCTGTATTTCACTTCAATTTTGTAAGTGCATTTTTGTATTAAAATATTCATTTTTATTATGATACTCTGCACTATTATTATTTTCCTTTCCTTCTCCATATTGGCCATGATGTCCTGTGAATTTTGAGTGTTGAACTAATTTGATGATACGCCTACAATCAATTTTGGTTTGTGAGTGTAATTATTATATCAATCCTCCACTTTTTAAATTTCTATTGTATTTTAGATCTTTTCGTTTTTTGCACTATTTTGAGGACCTTGAGGAGTCCTTATCTACAGTACTTATAGTACAAGGGTAACTGTATTTAGGATTTTCCTATCTGCTGCCCATTAAGAGTGTGTTCTATCCACGTTTTGGTGTATCTGTACAATTTTTGTATTTCGCAGCATTATGGGTGTAAGAGCATTATGGGGGATGTAGACCACAACATCTGGAGTGCTGAAGTGTGACGAAGTGCCCTTCGCCACTTGGTCCTGGAGAGGCCTACTTGCCAGCCTTCTCCCCTGTGACGATGACTCTTTCATGTATCTGGCTTTAAAGCCCCTAGTCTACCTTCAGACAGACTATTTATGTAGGCTGCTTTATTTATCTTATGTTTTAGTCACCCTGTACCCATTATAGGTGCAGGGTGTGTGTAATATAATTGTTTATAGTGTGTGTGTGTGTACTGTGTAATGTATTGCCTGCTCTCTTGTACTGCTGAGGTTTGCTACCAACTAGGTGGGTTTGGCTATGGAGCTTGTCTAGTGCCCTCTGTTGGTAGCAACAGCAATATGCACTACCTGAATTGCAAGACTGGTTCATTTGCATATTCGGGTAGATTTGCATATTGCTAATTTTGCAGGCAGGTGAGATATCTACTGTTAAATATTGTCTCCCCCCACCCCTTTTAAAATGTGCCATTGTGTTGTGATAAGTCACTGTGTGTTGCTTGATATGGTTTGACTGTTTGTGATTTTATTGAGGTTTCACAACAATGTTATTGTGGTGACCCTATTGGCTGGTCCCAAGGGAAATAAAGGTTTTGACAGTTCTTCTTGATCCTTCTAAACGTAGCCTTGTCTCGTTATTGGAGGGAGCTGTTATAATCACACTGGGGATTGCTATGCTCTGCATGCTCCCCTGAGCTTGAATCACTTAGCTCTTTTAAGAGCTTGTTCCTGACATGCTCTCCTTGGAGGATGGGTCTTCACAACACAGTCCTGGATGCTGGAGGTTCGTACAGGGTGGATGGAAGAGTTCTTTCCCACACAGTCCTGGAGGACAGAAGCTGATCCAGGGTGGAAGGAAGACAGCGAGACTCCAGTCAAGACCAGTCAAGATACGGCGGTTGCGGAGTCTGCGGTGGTTGTGGTGTCTGCTGCAGTGCTTAGAGTCCTCAGGAAGCGCTAGGAGCATCCGTCAACGGAGGGTACTCGGTCGGAGTACAAGGAGCTCCGTTACATGAAGGTTGCCTATCCCTGGTATAGGACTAAAAACAACTTTTGCACCTACATAACTACTATTTACAGAGTATCCCTTCTCATATATATATATAGATATATATAGAACAAATAGTCTAGCACTCCAACTTACTAGTGTAACATGCCCAGTGCTTGTCAGCATTCATAGATGCACAATGTAGTGTAGATAGCACTCCGGGGACTTCCAATAGGTAGAATAAAACTTAACTTTTATTGCTCAAATACAAAAAAGATAGACGTTTCAGTTTGCCATTTGTTTGAATGGCAAATTGAAACGTCAATCTTTTTTGTATTTGAGCAATAAAAGTTAAGTTTTATTCTACCTATTGGAAGTCCCCGGAGTGCTATCTACGCTACATTGTGAATATATATATATATATATGATCTCAGCTTTCTCTCTGTAACGGACCGTTTTGCACATAAGGGGTTAAAACCGTTTAGGCAATCGGCCCCCTTTCCAGAGATACAGGCACAGCTACTGCAGAACACCAAACTCCCGAACTGGATACAAAATAGCACTCCAACTCCCGAACTGGAACCTCCCAAATAGCTGCTAGCAGGCGAACAGGAAAAGCAGACAATCAGCTTACACTCCTGGCAATCAGTCTCTAACAGCATACAGTGAATCCCCCCAAGAACGAGACAAGGCTCCGTGTTGAGGGTCAAGCAGTGGTCTGAGGTGCTGGCACACCCAGCCTAGTTTTTATTACAGTCTTGCAAATACAGGACCGCCCACAGGGAGGTATAAAACAACCAATCACATCACAGTTACATCCCACATATTCCCTCCCCTTATCCTGAGAGGTAACTCAATTATACATACAGTTAAAACATACTTTCTACCCAACTTTCATAACTCTAAAACCATACATCACATTCACATAAAATTACACATTCACAATCAATCCATTCAGGGGAACAACATATTAAAAAATGGCCTGAATCAGACCAGGGGTTCAAAAGTTAAGGGAAAGTCCTTTGTGACTAAATGAAGCATGGCTTTCCGGCCCAAACCAGTTTCAGTCTTCTATCCTGGAGATAATTGAGAGTAATTCAATTATCTCCCAGGACAGACACAAGACTCCATTAAGCACATGGTTGCAAAAAGACACAAAACACTTTAAAATACATAAAGTCACCTTTTATACATAAAACACAGACATGTAACATATCCCCAGATAGCTCAGGTCCGAGCGCACATTATTAAGCGAATGGCGCTCAGACCACACGAATACAGTTTAATCGCCATGGAGCCAAAGTTTTTACAGTCAGTTTCATACGAATGGGCTCCATGGGATTCCTATCTGAGGTATAACACATTCAAACAAATCTACCGAACCCCAGGCAGAAAAGCACGAATGAAGCTTTTCTGCAGGTAAAAAAGATGTCTTTTAACAGGGGGCCATAGTCCAAAGGCAGCAGGCGAGCAACCAGGCTTCTCCAATGCAATGTGGCGAGATTGGTCTCGTCACATCTCTCCCCCTTTCCAAACAGACTAACAGGGTATCTGACCTCCTGCCGGTCAGTGCCCTTGTTAGTCCAGCAGCCCACCCACAACAAATAATCAACAGCACAGCCCACCCACAATAAATGGTTACTACACCTGGGTAAAGGGAAAGCTTGTCCATGTCCAGGTGCCTCACCACGGCTGTGCTGGGTACGGGTACGCTGACTTGGTGGGTTGCTGCGTGGGCAGAGACCAGCGGCACTCTGCCCTGTTGCCAGCGCTACTGGGAGGGTAGCCTGGTTGAAGCCTGGTTGTTGGAGGGGGAGACCGACTGTCTCCCCTTTAAATACACCGCTCTGCTGCGGGAGACTGACTGTCTCCCCTTTAGATGCACAGTCCTGCTGCTGGAGACCGACCGTCTCCCCTTTGGTTACCCATCTCTGCTGCTGGAGGGGGAGACCGACTGTCTCCCCTTTGGCTAGACAGCCCTGTCGCTGGGGAGAGGGGTAACAGGCTCCTCTCCCAATATAACACTCTGCCGCTGGGGAAAGGAGACTGAGCTCTCTATTCCCTGCCCATTAATGATCTGCCGCTGGGGAGAGGTGGTAGCAAGCTCCTCTCCCATACCTACTTTCATCCTCTGTGGAGGGAGACCGACTGTCTCCGCTCCCAATACAGTGTCCTGCTGCTGGGGAAAGGGGACTGGGCTCTCTATTCCCGGTAGGACACTCTGCCGCTGGGGAATGGAGACTGGGCTCCCAATTCCCTGCTGTATCTCCCGCTGGGGAATGGAGACTGGGCTCCCAATTCCCGGCACATCACTCGGCCGCTGGGGAATGGAGACTGGGCTCCCAATTCCCAAAAAATCACGCTGCTGCTGGGGTCAGGAACAACTACCTCTGCCCCCTGTAACTCAGCCTGCCGCTGGGGAGGGAGGACGCTGCTCTCCTCTCCCTGCACTTTACACTGCCGCTGGGGAATGGAGACTGGGCTCCCAATTCCCAATAAATCACACGGCCGCTGGGGAATGGAGACTGGGCTCCCAATTCCCTGCAGGACCGGTTGAGAGACCTCGGTCCCATCTCTACCGACCACCTGGGGTTCTTCCCAGAAAATATCAACAATGTCTTCCCAGCTGAATGGGTCTGGAACTGGATCTGTCACCTTGCTGTCCTGCTGAATCTTCTCAATGGAGTGGAAGAGATCTCGGTAGTCCTGCTCCAGTTCCCACTCCAGGGTTGCTAGGTGGACCAGGTCTTGCTCAATGTTGTGAGTGTCGTCCCAGTCATACCTGCTCTCCCTCCACTCCAAGAGATCACTGAACCGGGCTTGTGTAGGGCTCCCAAATTCAGGCTCTGAAAAAGCCTCCCATAACAAACCAGGACCATCAAACTCCTCTCCCTCTGGCTTGTCATGCTCGGCTGTCCAGGGCAGGTACTGTGCCCCATACCACCAGAGCGCCTGGTAGGCATCTTCCAGCCAAATCTCCTGCCATACCCGGTGCCCCAATTCCTTCACCCATTCATCCAGGGGCTGCTCTCCCAGGAAGGGCATCCGCAGGGCCACTTGCTTCTGCAACCGCTGCTCTTCACTGGGGAGACTCTCGCCCCGCTGGTATTGTACATTATCCAGGGCCTGGTACCAGATGCCTTTCCTTAATGCATCCCGGCCATCCAGGTCCTCCTCCTCGTATGACACTGCTGGTTCCATGCTGTTGCTGTCAGGGTCGCTGTACTCAGACATGCGTTGCCCTCAAATTGTAAATCCATGGAATGGTGTTGCCTGTAGCTGTCCTGTTGTCTGTGGGAACGATCCCGCCGCTTGCCACCAATTGTAACGGACCGTTTTGCACACAAGGGGTAAAAACCGTTTAGGCGATCGGCCCCCTTTCCAGAGATACAGGCACAGCTACTGCAGAACACCAAACTCCCGAACTGGATACAAAATAGCACTCCAACTCCCGAACTGGAACCTCCCAAATAGCTGCTAGCAGACGAACAGGAAAAGCAGACAATCAGCTTACACTCCTGGCAATCAGTCTCTAACAGCATACAGTGAATCCCCCCAAGAACGAGACAAGGCTCCGTGTTGAGGGTCAAGCAGTGGTCTGAGGTGCTGGCACACCCAGCCTGGTTTTTATTACAGTCTTTCAAATACAGGACCACCCACAGGGAGGTATAAAACAACCAATCACATCACAGTTACATCCCACATATTCCCTCCCCTTATCCTGAGAGGAAACTCAATTACACATACAGTTAAAACATACTTTCTACCCAACTTTCATAACTCCAAAACCATACATCACATTCACATAAAATTACATATTCACAATCAATCCATTCAGGGGAACAACATATTCAAAAATGGCACAAATCAGACAAGGGGTTCAAAAAGTTAGTAAAAAGTCCTTTGTGACTAAATGAAGCATGGCTTTCTGGCCCAAACCAGTTTCAGAGTCTTCTATCCTGGAGATAAGTAATTCAATTATCTCCCAGGACAGACACAAGACTCCATTAAGCACATGGTTGCAAAAAGACACAAAACACTTTAAAATACATAAAGTCACATTTATACATAAAACACAGACATGTAACATATCCCCAGATAGCTCAGGTCTGAGCGCACATTATTGCTTAATGGCGCTCAGACCACACGAATACAGTTTAATCAGCCATGGAGCCAAAGTCTTTACAGTCAGTTTCATACGAATGGGCTCCATGGGATTCCTATCTGGGGTATAACACATTCAAACAAATCTACTGAACCCCAGGCAGAAAAGCACGAATACAGCTTTTCTGCAGGCAAAAATAAAGTCTTTTAAAAGGGGGCCATAGTCCAAAGGCAGCAGGCGAGCAACCAGGCTTCTCCAATGCAATGTGGCGAGATTGGTCTCGTCACACTCTCTATTATCAAAGATACCCACCAACTGTCCAGTAACAGTTTGGACAGGGCTTCCCATGTCTATTGGTACACATTGTAATAATAATTGCATAAAATACAAACCCTGGCCACAACACTATAGGAAATCCTATATAGGACGAGCAAACTTGCATTTTTCTAGGCAAGTTTGAGCCACCTGGTCCAATTTTGCTTTATGTGATAAAGTATGAAAGAATATTATGAAGGAGCAAATGATACTACATTATTCTTGACTTTGTATGTTTACTCAGGGGCTATTCACTGACCCAACTATTTCAGTCCTCTTTATCAAAGTGTTTGGGAACCCTGTTAGATTCCCATCTCCTCGATCTGCCACCCATGAGGTGGGCACGTGAGAGCTGTTTGATGTTCTCATGACAAATAAGAGGTTCATGGGATGTCTAGCATGTTTATTTTGTTTTGGGGAGAACATTATGGCGCCAAACAGCTCCCTTCTCCCCTAAATCAAGATGTTCAGGAGACCATACAATCTTCAAATTAAACATTTTCACCAGCATTTTGTTTTTACAACAATTACACAGGACAAAATATGGATTTATGTTGATTCACTAATGAAGTCAGCATTTGAGCTGGCTATTGGATGGCAAGCATAAATCTGTACTGTAATTGCAGTAGTACACTTTATAAATCCAGCCCTTTGTTTGTTACAGAGTGGGTAATATGACGTCCACATACTAACAAGCACCTAATTTCACAATTATCTTCTTTAATACAAAAAGTTTAATTGGATTCTGTTCTCGATAATTAACAGCGACTGCCCCCTTTATCTAGTATGAATGCTTCGGGCAGTAATTTCCAATCATTATTTTTCAAACTAATGAGCATTTCTATACCATAAATTATAAATATCATCCCCTCATCAACCTTGCAAGAACTTTTTTTCTGCTTTAATTTTGTAGAAGTTGTATTTTTT